GCCTGAACGATGATGCGCCGGCCCAATATCTATACGACCAGCAGGGTTGGGATACAGGAGACAATGGGGGAACAAACTTCCTCTCACCCGGGGTAGGTGGGGAGATGGTGCTTTAAGGAAGCTCGGGGGGTGCGAGATGGGAAGAAGCGCGTCTGGAGATACGGGGTAGACTGATGGGGGAGTGGGCCGTTCAGAGACAGCTGACGGTACGCTGGTGCCAGGAAGAGAGAAGGCAATTTGTCAACAAGTCATTCAGGGTCGAGATGGAGCAGCACAAAGGCCCGAAGGCCGTGGAGCGTGGACCTTGGTGAGAAAAGAGCTAGGGGCGGGAGTGTTGGGGTGAAATTAGCACCATGTACCGGAAAGACGATGCAGCCAAAGTGGTGAGATCGACGCTGAACTGGCGATGGTAATGGAGAAGCAGTGACCTCACCTGAGGACATGGGCTTGGTCGTTCGCCCCAACCACTGGCTCTGACGCCAGATCTACTTTCTCCGGTCACCATGCCTGTCGACTAGCATTGGATGAGAGATGTGCTTCAGGTCCGGGGAATGGCTGACCAGCATCATCTGGTGCCTGGGCCTGCTGCGTCACTGAAGGCCTTGGTCACTGGTTGGGGAATTGGGGAGCCCCCAACCAATGCTCTGCCCTAGTTTCCTTCTCAGATTTCATTTTTGCGCGACACGGCAGCTCAAGCATGTCCATAAACTGAGTCTGGACCCTGTCGACAAAGCATGGAGCCCTGGATGAGTTAGGCCCTTGGGCAAAGGGAGCAACGAGTGGTCGTGACACTGGGCTCGATGTGTGGCCTGATGTCATGTACCCTGAAGTGGTCTAGAAATGGTCGGGGCCCTTTCCGTCGTGGAGACTAGCGTTCCGTTTGATCCGGGCGATGTGGGCGGCAGACTGGATAGAAGCATAGAAGATGGGGCTTCATTGCGATGTCCCCGGAGCCGACCTCCGCCCACGTAAGTCCCATCACCGAGGGGGACAACGTAGTGTATCTCTTCGCCCCCGCAGACTTCGGGGCGCGTTCGTCCAGCCAACACGCGTTAGAGCATGGATGAAGAATAGATGTTCTGAAAAGGGAGCCCGATGTCCTTCGGACACCGAATTTGAAGGTCGAGCAACAACAGTCCCCGTCGCCGATGTTCCTGATGCGGACGAGGCTCAGGTAGATGATGACATGGCCCACGGCAGTAGCGCGCTTGTAGGGATGATCAGAATGCAGATCGGGCTGGGCGTCGCATGTCGGCAGCAATTTGCCGAGTCAGTAGCGTTTGCGGCGGCGGCCCAGGGTTCTCGACGTCGGGACGCCCCTCAACGGACATTTGCGACCGCGACCACAACGGCGATGGGCGGTAGGTACCCCATTTCTAGATGCTTGTTGCTGCTCCATGCGCAGGATCCCTGGTAGGAAAAACTCTTCTCAGCACCGAAAGAATTGGAGCGACGACACGTACCCATCGTCGATTGAGGGGAAGGTAGGATCGCGACGCAGCCACGCCGGCCTCGAGCATCGCTGCGGACCATTGCCAAGTGAGCGAGAACTGACGATGATAGCGAATGGCTCGTTGGCATCAGGTGAGAAGGTGCGCGCTGATGCAGCGCCTTCAAGGGAAAGCCATTCAACGCTGAGCTCGGATGGACCAGCGCTCTCGCGGCGTCATCATGACATGACCCGTAGTTGGAGATGGCCAGCCTTGGAGAAATGAAATGGAGGGATCGTTCGCGAGTTGAGATGACTCGTGTGTGTGTGTGTTTGTGGCGCGTGTGGCAGGTACAGTAGCAGGGCCGCTTCCTTCCCTCCTGCCTTCCCTCCCCTCCCTGGTCCTTGCCACATCCTGCACGAAGACGGGTAACACCTGCTTGGCGGGGCTTCATGTGGAAGGTTTCCGCGGCAGCTGTGCGCCACATGCACTTAAGCGACGCGACCATCGAGAAAGAATGAATGACGTTTCCCCATCCTCGACAACCCTCACAAGGAACAGAAAGGGAACCCATCGGATGGCGGGCCCAGCTCTCAGATGATCAACTCGCCCCAGACCGTCGAAACCTTTGTTTGACTTACGCTTATTTCCCCAGCAGCCTCCAGTATCCAGATCGCAGAAGAAATCTCCAATACCTGCCTTAGCGGCACAGCGACGGCGACTCTATTACTGGACCCGTTGAGGCGGTCATGGCTCTTCTTGGCAGACCTCCGCGAGCACTGGTACGCTGGGTCGGCATGCACACACTGCCGTGATTCCCGTCCTGCAGAAGCAGAAGTCAAATCAAGTGCGTTGAGACGGTGGG